GAGCTGGGCAGCACATGGCTTTGCCTGTCCTGCCCTTCCCCAATGGTCAGAACAGCACAACAGCTGTGTCAGGGGAAGTTTAGAGTGGATATAGGAAATATCTTCCCCCAGGGCACTGGAATAGGCTCCCCAGAGCAGCAGCCATTAGCCCCGGGCTTGCCAGAGCTCAGGGAACATTTGGACAACACTCTGAGGCCCAGGGTGGGATTCTTGGAGCTGTCCTGTGCAGGGCCAGAGCTGGAATTTGATGCTACTAGTAGGTCCCTTTCCACTCAATACTGTATGATTCTACTTTTAAAGCTGATGAAGCAAACACAGTGTCCTGCTTAATGATTTCTGTCACAGCCAACTGCCCCCAGCTCCAGCAGACCTCAGGCACCCATCATGAACACCCAAACCCCCCAGAAACCACTGGGATCTTACCACCACCCTCTCCTTCCTCCCCACAAAACAGCCAGCTGCCTTGTTGGAAGCACCAACACCAAGGAAACGCACACAAGCGCACCCAGGACAGTGGTCAGTACCAGTTTTGGCCCTAAAAAGGTCAGTTGTCCATCACACTGCTATGTGAACCTGAGTTGTGTGGCTGTGGAGGCAGCCTGAGTGTCCTCCCATCCCAAAAGGCTCTTTCAGACACAGCCAAGGGCAGCACAAACCCAGGGAGTGCCATGGTTTAACTCTGGCTCGTTTGTGTGGTTGTGAGGTGTGTGACAAGGCAACAGATCAAACACGGGCATAAAGGCATCCATCCCACACACAGGAAACAGCAACTTGGCAAACTTGCTGCAGCCTCGGGACAGCAAATTCCCAAGGAGAGGGGATGCACCTCTCTCCCAGCACTGGCAGAGCTGCTGCTAAGGCTGGGGTCCAGGCCCCCACCTGAGTGTTCTCACCTCAAAGGGAAAGTCTGTGGCCAGCAGCTCACAAAGGCTGTCCGAGGAGCAGGGGAAGTTCTGCAGGCCCACGAATTTGTACTGGAAGAGTAAGAGAGGGTTAGAAGAGGCAACTCCCTGGTCTACAGGAGAACAAGTTGCTGAATCCAGCACTGGGGTGCAAGCAGCTAAAAAGGAATGATTCCTCCACTGCAGGGAAAGGGTGAGGAACAGCTCCCACATACTCCTGATACCTTTTTTTCCCAAGCACCTAAGACTGCAGGAAGGACTTTTCAGGAGACCTGACCCAGAGATGCACTTCTAACCAAAATAGAAAATGATGGCCTCCGGGCAGGATGCAAAGCAGACAGATGTCTGCTCCAGGCTGCTGCCTCAGCCAAGCCAATCTTTCCACCCAGGAAATGAAAGCTGAAACGACCCCCCCTCCATTAGGTAGTTATCTTCTGGATATTCCTGTTGGGAGTCAGGACAGGATGTTCTCTGAACACAGACACCCTCACTGCAGTCAGCCCCATTTATCACCAAGATGCTCAGCTCACAGGAGCTGCTCTGCTTGGCCATGTCTGAGCAGACAAATCTCTCATGTCTGTACTCAAAATTCACATTCCAAGCTGCTGTGGACTCTAGGTCCGACCCTCACGTGTAAGCCTTCAAAGGAAGATTTTTTATTCTGGCTCAGCAGGGACTCTGGATGGCAAGCCAGCATTCATCCCAACAACTTCAATGATCACTTTAAGAAGAGGGAAGGCTTAAAGCTTTACAAACCCACAAGACTGTCAGAATAAACCCCATTGTAGTCAGGCTGCCAACCAACACTGCTCCTGAAGAAACCACACTGGCTTTCCATTCCATTACAAGGGAAAGCTAAAAACAGCATGGAAGTTAGCTGATACCCTGCAGTGTGATCTCCTTCAGCACTCTGGATGGGGAGAAAAAACCCCACTAAACTCATTTACAATATGCAGTGGTTCTATTTACATCCTGACCACAGCATCCCATTTCATCAGATCTACACTTTGAAGCCTGATCTGTGAGGGGAAAGGAAAAAAAAAAGAAAAAAAGCTTCCACTTGTGAAAGAAACTGCTGAAGCCTGCTGAACAGGAGAACTTACCCCCAGCCTCCTCCTCAGCACAAAAGGACTTACCGGATTAATCCTGCTTTTCTCTCCCAGCCCTTCCTCCTCTTGGATTTTTGAGGAGAGCCAGAAGAATCTGAAGTCAGTCTGTGAAAGGAGGCAGAGTTAGTAACCATTCACCCCACATCACCTGTCAGCATCTGCCAAGCACCTTTGTTCCCCTGCACTCACCTGGGAGATTTACAAAATCAACTTCATCTGCAGAAACAGCACCCCAAACCCTGCTGCTCCCCCCAAAAACATGTACACACTTAAACAGCAGCCCTAAAGCTGTAGAGATGCTGGTGCTCAGGGGAAATATCTGCCTTTTTCAGAGTGAGCTTCCCACAGTGCTGGAGCAAAGCAGCTCAGGGAACACCAGGGAGGGCAGGGCTCAGTACCTGGCAGTCATAAACAGGGTGTCCTCTCCAGCACATCACGTCCAGGATGTAGTAGGTCTGCTTGGCCTCGCTGTAGATGCAGTCCAGGATGCTGTACACTGCACACACAAACACAGGGAGGTCCAGACCTGCTCCTAGCACTGCCCAAGCCAGCTGGCAAATACCAAGTCCCAGCTCTCTGACAATAATCCTGCCCTGATGTGAGACTGTGGCGTGCAGAGGGATCCCCTCCTGCTGACACAAACTGCAGCCACAAAAAGCCTTGAGCTTGAGGAGTCCCACGAGGCTGCAATGTGACCAGTCAGAGGCACAGCAAGCAAGAGCATGTTTCAAGAAATGGCATTTGCCAGACAATAAGCCTCTCTTTTTGGGGCAAAAAAAAAATAAAAAAAATTCCAAGATATATTAAGGAAGATGACACCATACAAAGGTGTCTGTTAGAGGACAGAAAGGATGTTGTGGTTTAAGAGTGTCAAACAGGAAGCTTCTTAAAAGATGTGGCAGGACACAGGGAAATGGTTTTAAACTGGAAAAGGGCAATTTTAGATTAGCTGTTAGGAAGAAATTCTTTCCTGTGAAGGTGCTGAGTCCCTGGGACAGATAGCCCAGAGTAGCTGTGGCTGCCCCATGCCTGGAAGGGTCCAAGGCCAGGCTGGACAGGGCTTGGAGCAACCTGGGATGGTGGAACATTCCCTGTCCTTGGCAGGGCAGTGGAACAAGCTGAGCTTTAAGGTCTCTTCCAACCCAAACCACCCGGGGATTCTATGTGCTTATAAAGATATCTGATACTGTTCCCATCTAGTTACCTCCAGAGATACAGAAACTGGCCTAAAGCTGAAGGTGACCACTCCCAGCACAAAAAAGGAGCAGAGCCATGGAACTTTGGGGAGCTGGAGGAGCAGCACTGGGCCTGCAGGCACACACAAACTCCCAGGCAGCTCCCCTCTCTCTACCCCAGACCCTCCTCACAGCTGTACCTTTGTCACTGGTTGAGTTGTGCCGGTTTCCCCCCGGCAGCAGGGATGGGAACCTGTTGACACAGAAGCCACTCTTGGTGTAAGCTGCTGTTGTGCCCTGTGAGGAAAAAAGGAGAGAAGAAACCCAGTCAAGCCAGTTTTATGTTGGCTGTGAATGGGTACAGGTCCTTCAGCAGCTGGTGGAAGAACACTTACCCTGGAGGCCACGACAAGAGCCCTTTTCCCGACGGGACACACCACCACAACCCACTCCTGCTCCAGATCTGAGGGGACATCCACCAGCCACTCCGACAGCATCAGCTGCAGAGAGCCCAGGGAGAAGAACCAGTCAGTAACAGCTCTCCTGAGGTTATGGACAACAAACAACCCACGGGTAAAGCAAGGAGGTTGTGACTTTGCTTTGGCACTGGGTGTTTGAAGGGCAGCTGGCACTGCTTGTCACCCCCAAAGGCTCCTTCCCTCCCCTCTAATGAAGTCCAACCTGCCTAACACGGTCTTCCCCAAGCATTTATCTTGCTTCCCAGCTGCTGACTGAGCTTCAGACCACAGCACAGGGCTCACACTGGGCACCCCACACCTCAGTCCCCACTCCAGGTACAAGATGTGGGGTGCCCAGTGGTGTTTTTTATTTTTAAAAACACAGCAAGGCTTAGAGATTCCAAAATGTCAGGAGTAAAGAGCCTGGACAAGCTGACCTCTTCAGAGGTTCCCTAAGTGGCTGTGTGTTACCTAGGACTGATCCAGCACCCAGGCTGATAAAACCCAGCTGAGCTTGCCCTTTTTTCCTTTCCAAGCACAGCGAAACAAATTTTTAGCTGAATACTGCCTAACAGGTTACTCATGCTGCTGGCTGAGCTGAAATCTCCTAAAGTGGTGAACATGGTGATGCAGAATTAATGGCTGGAATCAGTGAACCTTCGAGGTCTTTTCCAACCTAAGAGATTCTAAAGCACAACCCATCTCCGCGTGTTTTCCATTCGAACTCAGCGTTTTTGGAGGTGAACTAAGCACAGTTCCTCTGCGAGCACCAAGCCGGGCAGGACACACTCCTCCCAGCCCCCAAATGGCCACCACCGTGGCCTCAAACCAGCCCACACCGCTGCCCCACCGCCACATCCACCACGGGGACACAGGTGGCCACAGCTGTGGCCTCAAACCAGCCCACACCGCTGCCCCACCGCCACGGGGACGCAGGTGTTCCTCACCTGATTGGCGTAGCGCTTGGGCAGCTTTTTGCCAGCATCCACGTCCATCGCCTCTTCCTCCGCATCTTCCCCTTCCTTGTCCTCGTCCTCGCTCTCCACCCCTGCCCAGTCGTCCTCCGCCAGCCTCCTGGCATGGTTCACGTAGTCCAGCCGCCTCCTGGGCGGAGGGAACAACCGGGGGGCGTCAGCTCACCCTCGGCACACGGGCCCGGCCGCTCCCCTCAGGCAGCTCCGGGCCGGCCCAGCGCGCCCCGCGCCCGCACCCCGCCCGCTGCCGCGCTCACTCTCTCTGGATGCGGAGGAGGCGCTGCCGGCGCTCGGCCTGCCCGGGGCCGCCGCGGGGCTTGTAGGCGGCCAGCCGGGGGTGCGGCGC